CGGATCTCTGTGAGTTCAAGGCCAGCCTGGTCTACATAGTGAGTTCCAGGACAGCTAGGGCTACAAGCAGATCCTATCTCAAAAAGACAAAACAAAATGACTGCTTACAATATCACATATGTCTATGATAGTATTAAGTAATTATTTCTTAAGTATGTTATAATTTCTTTTTAAAAAGGAAAGGTTTTAAAGAGATGGAAATATTTATAGATGAAACAGTATGTCTGGGATTTGCTTCAAAAGCATTTTTATATATCTGAATGTTTTCATTATAACAAGCTAAAAAATTTTTAAAGGAGAAAAAGAAGGGCAAGCACCTTGTAATGCTGAGTCTGGAACCATTAAACATCTGCACGCTTTTACTTTGTGAATTTATAAGAAACAAGAATTTGCTTATCTTCATTTAAGAAACTCCTATGAACTTTGTGACTGCCCATCCATTCCAAGTCTCTACCCCTGGATAGAGCATGGGCAGGTCCTCACTATGTGGTTAAAAAACAAGGACAATAAACCCCAAGAGGCCCTTTAGTGACCTCTTCCCACAGGCTGTACAGCTGGAACAGACACAGGGTAAAATCCCTATTTTGCTTTCTCCAAAAGAGGAACCTCTGGCTTCTGGGAGTTTTGTTATATGGAATTGCTAAGCCTATGATACAAACACCTAATATATCCACTACTAGAGATAAAATAACAAGAGGAGCTGAAGAGATGGTTCAGTGGTTAAGAGCACTGGCTCGATTCCCAGCATCCACATGGCGGCTAACAACCATCTATAACTCCAGTTCCAGAGGAATCCAAGACCCTCTTCTCACCTCCACAGGCATTACACGACATGGGTACACTTACATACATGTAGACAATACACTCATACACATAAAATAAAAATACAATATTTTTTAAATGACCAACAAGACAGATCTAACCCCTTGGGAGAACAAGTAATCAGGCAACTCTTCATTATCACTGCAGTAAGGGGAGAGGCTGCAACAGGAGACAAATGCAGTGCTCCTGCCTCTGACAGTGTAGTAGGGAGTGCTGAGGCCTGCTGGGGAAGGAAGGTATCTGGTCTCTAATAGGGTAGTGAGTTGAAACAGAGACTCTACTGAGGGTACCTGGAGAGTGATGAGTCAGTCAGTCACTTCACTAAAAGCTGAAGCTTAAAGCTGCATGTAGAAGATGTAACAGTCCTCACCCCTACCTCAGACCTTTTCACTTAACTAGAAGGTTGGTAGCCAGGCTCATACTTCACTGGGGCTCTGTGTGTGGAATATTAGGGCAAGTCCAAATAAGATACTTGTATCCTCATAATTTTCATATGGCAAAACCTACTCATGTTCAAGGCCAACCCATCCACTCAGCTTCCAATCAGTTAATGCAACACTTTTGTTAAGAATAGGAAGGGACAGCATACACTGGAGGAAACGACAAAAGACGAAGCACCAAATAAACAGAAAAAGGGTATAGTGAAGCATCTGAAACCAATGATACAGAAAAAGAGAAAAGGACAAAGAAAACGAAGGGGAAACACTATAATTAGCCTCAGATAAGACAGCACGTCCATGAAATGAGTAACTTTTTTTGTTTTTGGGGTTTTTTTTTTTTTTTTGGTCTTTTGGAAACAGGGTTTCCCTGTACCCCCAGCTGGCCTTGAACTCACTATGTAGACTATGCTGGCCTTGAACTCACAGAGATCCACGT